TTCAGCAACTCTCTACCTTTTGACTGGAACATTTCATACATTTGCAGTCACTGGAATTGCTGAAAAGAAATGGCTTATGCCTTTTTATGTTTGTCTTTGTGTTTCTAAAGCCTTCTTTTGGGGGCCCTGGTCACTTACTGATAAGGGATTGTGCTGCCGATGCAAAGGTACAGGGCTCTGCGGGAGAAAGATGGACAATCTGCTTCCATGCACATGATTGCTGCTGCTGCTGTTGTTAGGTGCCGTTGAGTCGAGCATGACCCATAGCGACCCTATAAACAATAGATCTGAACCCTGTTCTAGTCTGCACCATCCTCACACCTCCTGACACACAAGAACCCATTGCAAGGGAGCTCTGGTGGCCTAGTGGCAAGATGCTGCACTGCAATCCCAGAGGTACAAGGTTCAAATCCACCAGATGCTCTGCTGAAGAAGGAGGGTGCAGTCTCCTCCTGTACCAGTCAGATTTGATTTGACGGTACACGTAAAAATAATACAATAAGAAAATTAAAAAAAGAACCCATTGCAGCAGTTGCTGTGTCAATCCACTTGATTGCGAGTCTTCCTCTCCTTTGCCAACCCTGCACCCTTCCCAGCAACATGTCCCTCTCTAAGGAATAGCCCCTCCTAGCAACATGTCCAGAGTATGTGAGGCAAATCCTCACATCATCTTTGCTTCCAAAGGGCACTTGCACATTCTCCAAGACATACCTGTTGGTTCTTTTGGCCATGGGGTGTTCAGTGCTCTTCTCCAAAATCACAGCTCAAAGGCATCAATTCTTCTTCTGTCCTCCTTAGTCATTGTCCAGCTCTCAGATACATAGCAAGTAATCGGAAAGATCATAGCCTGAATCAGATGCACCTTAGTCCTCAAACTGACATCATTACTTCCTCAATAATTTGGAGAGGTCCCTGACTGCAGGCATTTTCCAGTGCAATATGTCTCCTGATTTCCTGACTGCTGGTACCAAGGGTGTTAATTGTGAGTCCAAGCAAGGTGAAGCTGTTGACAGTTTCAGTCTTTTCTCCATCTCTCATGATGCTCCCTATCAGCTCAGTGGTAAGAATCTTTGTCTTCTTGACACTGAGATGTAATCCATTTTGAAGGCTGTATTCCTTGATCTTCTGCAACAAGTACCTGGAGTCCTCCTTCTTTCTCTTCATGATGATTATATGAATGCAGCACTCTGTATTTATCCATTTATCTGGTGTTAGGCATTGGGATTGTTCCTACCTTGTGGCTATTGTGGATCATGCTGCAATGAGCATACATTCACGTACAAGTCTCAGTTTGCATACTGGTTTTCAGTTCCTTTGGGTCAATGCCCAAGAGTGGAATTGCAGAGTCTGATGTTGGTTTTCTATTCAACTTGCTGGGGAACTACAAGACCATCTCCCACCAGCAATGTATGAGGGTCCGTTTTTCCACATCCTACTCAGGACTTGTCCTTTACCTCGTTCTATATCATAGCCATCCCAGTGGATGTGATCAGATGAGTTGTGGGATGACATCAAGGATATCATCCATGAAGAAAGAAAAAGGTCATTTCAAAGACAGAGAAGAGAGAAAAAACTAAAATGGATGTCAGAAGAGACTCTAAAGATTGCACAGGAGTGTCGAGAAGCCAAGAAAAAGGAAAACGTGTTGACATGAAGGAGCCAGACAGAAGATTTCAAAGGGCGGATCGAGAAGACAAAGCCAAGTACTGTAACAGAATATGCAGAGACTTAGAACTGGAGACTAAAAAGAGAGTACACTTGGCATTTCTTGGGCTGAAAGAACTCAAAAAACCAATTCAAGCCGCACGTTGTAATACTTAGAGATGACTTGGGCAAAATCTTGAATGACCCAGCAAGCATCAAAAGAAGATGGAGGGAGTACTCAGAGTCACTGTACCAACAAAAACTGGCTGCCACTCAAAGAGTTCAAGAAGTACCATGTGCTCAAGAGCCAATTGTGATGAAGGAGGAAGTTCAGGCCGCACTGAAGACATGGCAATTCTCAGGAATTGATGGGATACCAATTGACATGCTCACCAGTCCGTGCCAGGAAACTTGGAGGGCAGCTGCCTGGCCTTATTTGTTCCCATTCCCAGAATGTGGACATTATCGAACAGTATCATTAATATCACATTCAAGCAAAATACTGCTGACGATCATTCAAAAACGGCTAAAACTGCCAGAAATTCAAGCTGGATTTAAAAGAGGCTGTAGCACCAGGGATACCATTGCTGATGTCAGATGGATCCTGAGAACAGAGAACACCAGAAGAGTGTCTGTTTGTGCTTTACTGACTATCCAGAGGCGTTTGGCTGTGTGGAGCATAACAAATTATGGCCGACACTGAGGAGAAGGGAACCCAGACCTCTCAGTTGTACTCATGAGAAACCTTTATCTAGACCAAGAAGCTGTTGTGCAAACAGAGCAAGGGAGCACTACATAGTTTAAAATTAAGAAAGGTGTATGCCAGGGTTATATTCTCTCCATCCCTATTCAATCAGTATGCTGAGCAAATTACTCTAGAAGCTGGACTCTGTTAGAAACAATGTGGCATCAGGGGAGCTCTGGTGGCCTAGTGGCAAGGAGCTGCAACTACAATCCCAGAGGCACACGGTTCGAATCCACCAGATGCTCTGCCGGGGAAGGAGGGACGATCTCCTCCTGTACCAGTCAGATCTGATTTGACGGTACACTCACACAAAAATAATAAAATAAAATAAAAAATTTTTTAAAAAAGAAACAATGTGGCATCAAGATTAGAGAAAGATTCATCACTAACCTGTGTTATGCAGATGACCATGAAATACTTGCTGCAGAAGATCAAAGACTGCAGCCTTTAATATGTATTTCATTTCAAAGTCAAGAAAACAAAAATTCTTATCATTGGACCAATAGGCAACATCATGATAGATGGAGAAAAGATTTAAATTGTCAATGACTTCATCTTACTTGGATCTACAATCAATACCCTTGATACCAGCGGTCAGGAGCTCAGGAGATGTATTGCACTGGGAAACTCTGCAGTTAGGGACCTTTCTAGAGTACTGAGAAGCAATGGTGTTAGTTGAAGCCTAAGGTGCACCTGATTCAGAACATGGTCTTTTCAATCACTTGCTATGCATCTGAGAGCTGGACAATGATTAAGGATGATAGAAGAAAAATTGATGACTTTGAGCTGTGGTGTTGGGAAGAAAACATCCCATGGATGGCCAAGAGAACAAACAGATATGTCTTGGAGAAGGTGCAGCCAGAGCACTCCTCGGAGGCAAAGCTTCATCGTACATACTTTGGCCATTTTACTAGGAGAGGCTGTTCCTTGGAGAGGGACAGCATACTCAGAAAGGTAGGGAGACAGTAAAAGGAGAGGAAGGCCAGGTGGATGGACACAGTGACTGCAGCAGTGGGCTCAAGTGTCAGAGATGGACAGAGATCTGTTGCTCATAGGGTTGCTAAGAGTTGTACGCAAGTTGATGACACCTAACAATTACAACTTCCTCCTCTCCCCCATCAACACTCTTAGCACCAGCAGTCAAGAAATCAAAAGATGAATTACACTGGGAAAATCTGCTGTTAGGGACCTCTCCAGAGTACAGAAAAGCAATGATGTCATTCTAGAGACTAAGGTGCGCCTGATCCAGGCCATGGTCTTCACAATTACTTGCTATGCATCAGAGAGCTGGGCAATGACTAAGGATGAGAGAAGAAGAATTGATGCCTTCAAATTGCACTAGAGAAGAGTCTTGAACATACTATGGACTACCAAGAAAACAAATAGGTCTGTCTTGGAGCGGGTGAAACCAGTCTTCTCCTTGGAGGCTAGGGTTTTGAAGCTCTGTCTCACATACTTTAGGCACGTGGCCAGCAAGGACTGATCCTTGGAGAAGGACATCATGCTCAGAAAGGTGGACGGACAGCGCAGGAGAGAAAGACCCTTGATGAGATGGATTGATACGGTGACTGGGGCAATGGGGGTAGGTGTGTCGGAGTCAGTGAGACTGGCCCAGGACAGGGCAGATTTCTGGCCCAGGACAGGACAGATTTCAGAGCTGTTGTACATAGGGTCACTGTGAATCACAGATGATTTGACGGCACATAACAACAACAAGAAAAATGGATGTGAAATGGTATTTCGTTGTGACACTTCCATTCCATAATGGACACCTTTGCATTGTAGTGTTGGAGATAGTACTGAACATGTCATGGATTGTCAAAAGGCCAAATAGATCCATGGTGGGGGTTCTCTGTAAAGCCAGGGTGTTTTATACAGGGAAGGATGGTGAAACCTTGCTTTGCTTTGACCTTGTTGCCAGAAGGTGCCAGTCCTTGACAAAGACCCATATTGAAAAGGTGAACGGTGAGACAAAGCCGAGGGCCTCAGTGACGGCCGCAGCAGGTGTGCACGTGTTAGAGATGTCTGGCTTCCCTCACAATCTGTGGGCTGGTTTTTTGTTTTGGTGTTATTTGTTTGTTTTTTATTTTACTGATGATGATGTCCTTTGAAATAAAGTTTCTAATATTTATAAAGTCTAGTTTATCTAATTTTACAGTTTGTTGCTTATGATTTGTTGTCCAATGTAAGAAATTATTGTCATATCCAAAGTCCTGAAGATTTATTCCTCTGCTTTCTTGTGAGACTTTTATGCTCCACCCTGAGTTCATTTCATGTCAGGTATAAGATAGGGGTCCCATTTCACTCTCTCATGTGCATGTGGAGGGAGAACCGGTTTCCCGGCACCACGTGTGGGAGACTCTTCCTTCCTCAGTCCTGTGTACCGTTAGGCAGAACCAACCTCCAGCAGCCATGCAGCAGGTTTTTGGAGGCCGTTTAAGCGCTCGGGAGATTTGCCATCGTTCTCCATGAAGCGGCTGGTGGATTCTAACCCCTGCCTTTGCGATTGCAGCACAGCCTCTTACCATTAGGCCACCAGGGCTCCCCGGTCTTTCTTCGGAGGAGCTGATTTTGAACTTTCTTTGGCTCTGCCCTTCCCTTCCCTCCACAGACCCCGAGGCAGTGAAGAAGGCTGCCCTGGAGAAGAAGGAGGAGGAGCTGGTAAGCGAGCGCACTGAGGCCTTCACCATTGCCCGCAACCTCCTCACCGCTGCGGCCGATGCCATCGAGCGCATCATGTCATCATACAAGGAGGTACCCTGGCCCCGCGCCCACCCTCCCACGGCCTTCGGTTCTCTGCTGCCAGCAGCTGAGCCGGTTGGTCTTTGCCACAGGTGACAGAGCTGGCTGGCTATACAGCCCGGGTCCATGAGATGTTTCAGGTCTTCAATGATGTCCAGCATTGTCGTTTCAAGAGGCCTGGGGAGCTGGAGGACTCCCCAAGAGGTTCTTCTGGGGCCCTTGTGAGGCCAGGTGTCCGTGTTGAAGGGCCCCTGAGGATTCGAGGTAGGTGCCCCCTCTAGCTCCTCCATTCGAGTGGCCCCCCCCCCCAGGCAGCCCCTGCCTCAGCTCGGATGCCTTTAGTCAGCCTATCAGAGTGGTTGTCCCTAGCTTCTGCCCCAGAGTCACTGAGCAGGAGACAGGACTCAGTGCCTCGGGTCCTAGAGGCCTAATGTGGAGTGGGGTTCCAGCAAGCCTGGAGAAGCCAGGGCCATGTGGAAACCCACCCCGTGTCCTTTCTGCAGGCCAGGTGGTCGATGTGGAGCAGGGCATTGTCTGTGAGAACATCCCCATCATCACCCCCACTGGAGAAGTGGTGGTGGCAAGTCTCAACATCAGGGTAGGTGGGAGCAGGGCAGCTCTGTGGTATGGGGGGGGGAGGTGACCCAGGCATCTACAGTGTGTGTTTCCAAGCCCCAGTCCTTGGCACCCAGACAGGCTGGCTTACCCAAGCTTGCAAAGGCCACTGTCCCCAGACTGACGTGGCAGGTGGGCCAAGGTCAAGCTGAGAGACCAACGTGGCTCTGACCTGGTCCAGGCGCAGTGGAATCAGAGCTGATAAAGAGCTTCCCAGTTGCCAGCATTGGCCAAGGGTCATTCCTCGCCCAGGGGCAGCTTGGGGCTTGGGGCTCTGGGGCTGTGCCACAGGTGCTGCTGGGGCTAACAGCCCTGCTGCTTGGACCCTTCTACCTGCGCCCCATCCCACTTGCTTCTGGAAGAGCCCTGTAGGGCTTCATGTGCAGGACCAACAGCCAGACGCCCAGGAGGGCTCTCAGCCCCAGGCAGGTTTTCATGGACAGGAACGCTGGTGGGAGACCAGTCCACTCGCGCCTGCTGGGGGTTTGGGCAGGTGGGGCTCAGTGGTGTACGGTGGAAGCAGGGGGAGGGAGGAAGCAGAGGGAGCCGCCCCTCCTTTAGTGTGTGGGCCCTGAGCTCCTCTTTGATGCCAGTGAGGTTGCCATGCTGTGGGGGATACGCCATGCAGGGGTGCCAGAGCAGACCGCCAGCGCAGGCTAACCCTGAGGACAGGCCGGCTCTCGTCCGTCTCTGGCTGCCTGCATAGAGAGGGGGCACACTGAAGGGGGACCCACGAGCGCCCGCTGCCCGCAGGTGGAGGAAGGAATGCATCTGCTCATCACTGGCCCCAACGGCTGTGGCAAAAGCTCTCTGTTCCGGATCCTGGGGGGGCTGTGGCCAGCATACTCTGGGGTGCTCTACAAGCCCCCACCCCAGCGCATGTTCTACATCCCCCAGAGGTGAGAGCGGCAGGGCGGCCAGCTGGAGTGGGGTGTGGGCACGTCCAGGGCCAGCCCTTCTTCCCCTCTCTCCCGTCTGGTGGGCTGAGGTGGCTAGGGTGCTCAGAGCCTGGAGACCCGCAGGACGTGCCCCTAGCCAGCTGTGCCAGGGGGGCCGCATCCCTGCCTCCTCAGTCCGCTCTCCTAGCGGCATCATGTGGTGCACCTGTCAGCTGGCACACGCGTGCGGTGTGCTGTGCTTGTGCACGTGTTTCGTAGTGCTGTCCGCCAGGTTCAGGGGCTGCAGGGCCCTGGCAGACACTCGGGCTCCCCGCAGGCCCTACATGTCGGTGGGCTCCCTGCGAGAACAGGTCATCTACCCGGACTCGGTGGCGGACATGAGGAGGAAGGGCTACTCCGAGCAGCACCTGGAGGCCATCCTGGACATCGTGCACCTGCACCACATCCTGCAGCGGGAAGGAGGTAGGGCTGGGCGGCCACCACCTCACCTGTCACAGCTCCGGGCCACCCACTGCCCTCTGCCCCAGGACACCACCCATTCTCCCTCCTAGTCTCTCCCTCTGCTCCGGGGTCCAGAGGACAAAGTGCGTTATGGGGGGGCAGGCTGGCAGTGAGCAGGTGACCCCAAGTGGCATGGGCATGTGCTGCTGGAGGGAGAATGTGAGGGGCCACCCCAGGAACAGGACTCAAGCCTATGGCCTCAAAGCCTGTCTGGTGGCTGAGACAGAGAGCAAAAGTGAAGGGGCCAGAAGATGAGGCCTGAGTGCAGTGAGAGACCGGGGGTCAGGTGGCAGCAGGGAGATGCTAGGGAATGGGCCTGCAGGGATGGGGGAAGGGCCAAGTTCACCCCATTGAGGCATGTTAGGGCTGGGGGCTGTAATCATTCACCGACCTAGAACACTGGAGTTCAAAGTCCTGAGAGGTGTAAGCTGGTGTTGGGAGGGGTGCAGCATGGCGCTTACTCTCGGAAGGAAATCACCTCCTAGCCCAGATGGCCACTGCGGCCCTCTCACATCCATGCTGGGCGTAGGAGGGAGGGGGGTACGAGGGAAGGAGCAAAGGTGCCCACCTTCTTTCTTAAAGGGAGTGTGGAAAAGCTGCCGCGTGTGTAACACACATAAGCCCCAGTGGTCAGAGTTTAGCCACATGGTCACGCTACCCACACTCCTCATCCTATAGGGGAGGGGTCCCACAGACCCTCTGCTCCCCACCCGCCCCAGTGCTGGCCCAGGGCCCTGCCCCCCCACACCTGGGAGCAGGCCTGAGCCAGTCCCCACTCTCCAGGTTGGGAGGCTGTGTGTGACTGGAAGGATGTGCTGTCGGGGGGCGAGAAGCAGAGGATTGGCATGGCCCGCATGTTCTACCACAGGTGAGCCAGGGAGGGAGACAGGGGCTGAGGCTCCTCGAGGCTGGAGGCTGACATGGGGCCCCCTTCACCCCAGGCCCAAGTATGCCCTTCTGGACGAGTGCACCAGTGCGGTCAGCATCGATGTGGAGGGCAAAATCTTCCAGGCGGCCAAGGATGCAGGCATCGCCCTGCTGTCCATCACCCACCGGCCCTCACTGTGGTAGGTGCCCGACTGCCTTCAGAGAGCAGTACCCACTGGCCATGGCAGGTGGGTGGCCTCATTCTCCCTGTGCCCGGCAGGAAGTACCACACACACTTGCTGCAGTTCGATGGGGAGGGCGGCTGGAAGTTTGAGAAGCTGGACTCGGCGGCCCGCCTGAGCCTGACCGAGGAGAAGCAGCGCCTGGAGCAGCAGCTGGCGGGTGTCCCCAAGATGCAGCGGCGCCTACAGGAGCTCTGCCAGCTGCTGGGCGAGATGGCGGCCCCTGGGCAGCCCCAGGCCCTTGGTGGCCCTGGCCACGGACTCCCCACGACCACCACCACTTGAGAGGAGTCCTGGCTCTGGGCCCTCGGCCCCCTCCCCTCCCCTGAATTCTCGGATCACATGAAGGAAACCCCCCCCACACACACACATCCCCACCCTAGCTGCCCTTGGACACCTTTTAACCACCCGCAGGCCATTAGATCACATGCTCTTCTCCAGCCCAGCCCCCTTGGGGAGCACACTCAGAGGCCGCCTGGTGAGCCCCTTCCGAAACCCTCTGACACACAGGGGTCACCATGGCCAATAACTGTGCCATGTCTCCTTGAAGGCGGGGCACAGTCCTACACCCACCTGGTGCTGGTGAACCGGCATGAGTGACAAAGACCCCCCGCAGTGCCAGCATCCCACTGCCAGCCTGCATTTGTGCCTACCTGGAGACTTAAGTCCCCATTGCAGACACCCCTTTGTCCCTCAGAGAAGCCGTGGCCCTCCTTTAGTGGCTCTGGCCCTGTGGACACTCTTCTGCAGAGACAGGCCCCGGGCCTGCAATCGCAGAAAGCCAACCAGGGGACCAGCAGAGGAGGCCCCCCGACATGGGCTGTGTCCACGGCCCCTAGCCTTCTCTCATCCCAAACCTAATTTATTCTAGTTTTTGTTTATATCTCCTCCATTTACCAGTGGGGAGGCTGGGCTGGGGGGCACCTGCCTGGTGCCAGACCACAGTCCCTGGGCACTACCACCCGTCAGCCTACACTGCCAGCTGCCCTGTAGTCTTGGCTGCCTGGAGTGAAGGTACCAGTGTCCCCAGCTCAGTGCCAAAGAGGGGTCTACTAGGGGCACTATCCATGCCAAGCCAGCCCTCATCTGAAGAGGGGGACCCCCACCACCATGTGCCTTTCCTGGTCCCTCAGCCTTCAGGCTGAGGCTCTGCCTTCAGTCCCCTCAGTAAAACCTGCCATGGAAAATGCAGCCTGGTCCCCTGCCTCTGTCTTGCGGGTTTGCAAGTGACTGGGGGAGTGGGTTCACCACAAGGCTCTCTGCGGAGCCCCGCCCATCACTGGTCCCCAGAAGCATGAGCGAGTCCAGTGCCTGGGAGGTTCAGCCAAGAGGCCCATGGTGGGAGGCAGGGCCAGGCAGCAGCGTGTCAGAGAGACGTGCTGAGACAGGATGAGGGTCCAGGACAGAGACCGGGATGTGCTGCATGCACATGTGGGCGGCTGGGGGTGAGAGCAAGCCCTTCCAGCTCTCCCGGGCTGTAAAGCCTTAGAGAAAAGGCTATTTCTCTCCTGTAGAGTGTCTGCTGCACTCGAACTGCCAGCCTTTCTGTCAGCAGCCTAATGCGTTCCACACTGTGTCACCGGGGCTCTTTAGAGTTCCCAGGTGGATCTGTGGCCCAGAGAGAGAGGGCTACCCCAGCATTTGTTCCCTGTAGTGCCATTCCCCCACAGACAGATGAAGGAAGAAAGTGTGACCTGCTGGCTGCTCCGAAGTGGCACGATGGTGACAGTGTGACACAGAGTGGAACAAGTCCACACAGGAGGACCTCTCTGGCCTGCGAAGTTGAAAAGGAGGTGACTGCAGGGAGAAGAGTGGGCTTAACAAGTGGTCGCAGGCAGGGACGTGGCGCCCAGAGCACTGAGAGGTGGGTGTCGCAGGCAGGGGCGTGGTTTGGTCTGCTGGCGAACCCCAGGATCCAGGAGAGGAGTGCATCTGCATGCAGAGTGTCTACCATCTTGTCCGCAGACCCACAGTAAGTCACGGACCTGATAATACCGATTTCTCTGAAACTTAAATAGCAAGAGCATTTCTGTGGTCTGTGACAAACCCTCATTGAGAGAGAGGGTGGGGCAGACTGGAACAGTACTGACCAGAAGCTGTGCTGATAGAGGCTGAGTTGCTCCTGGATCCGTGCACGTGGGACGTGGTGCAGCCTGGTCCTGGACCACTACCATGGCCGCTGGGCCGCATAGGGTTTGCAGTGGCTGCTTGTCAGAAGGAGTGTGACTCCTGAGGCTCTGCTAATGCTAGTTCCCCGACATAGCCACATGCAAGCCTCTCGGTTTGAGCCCCCATGGTGGCTGTGCTGGTAGTTCCTTGGCCAGAGACTTTGCCACTTGGCTGCTCTAACTGCTGCTGATGTGGGGCCAACTCATCACTGACCTCCCACTGGGCTTCCAAGGCCCAACATACTGCACACTGCACCACCAAGGCTGCCGGCTCAGGACTGGTGAGGCTTGGGAAGAGGGCGCTTTCTAAAACGTAAATGGCAAGAACTAGTTAGTCTGTGATCTTCCTCTAAGTCCTAGTTGGTACGTAGGGAAAAGAGACACATACAGGGCAAGTCCTGGACAAAAGGGAGTTCTCCCCACCACCACCACCAAATACACTCCCCTATGCAACAGTTCTGGTTTCTTTAGGGTATATTCCAAGTAGTGGAACTGCTGGGCCAAAAGATATTTCTAGTTTCAACTTTTTGAGAACGCACCACACTGCCTTCCAGAATGATTACACCATTTTATACTCCCACCAACAGTGAATAAGGGTTCCAATTTCTCCATAACCTTGCCAGCATTTATTGTTTGCTTAGCTTTGTTGAACTTTGCTATTGTTACTGAGTTGAGATTATATCTCATAGTTGTTTTGATTTGCATCTCTCTTAGAGCTAGGGATTTTTAACATTTCTTAATGTGTTCGCCATCTGAATGTCTTCTTTGTTTGAAGTGTCTGTTCATATCTTGTACCCATTTTGCAATTGGTTTATTTACCTTTATCTTGTTGTGGTACTCGAGTATTCTATAAATTCTAGATAGAAGTCCCTTATCTGACATGTCAGTCTGTAGCTTCCCTTTTTACCCTGTTGGAGAAGTTTTTGGATGTGAATAGGGATTTGCTTTTTAGAAGGTCCTAGTCATCTATTTTATCCTCTGCTGGTTGTAGATTTTTTGGGATGCTTGGAAGACTGTTTATGTTGTGGATTAGGACTTCTAGAGTTCTTCCAAGCTTTTCTTTAATGTAGTTTATGGGCCTTGGTTTTAGTCCTAGGTCCATGATCCACCTTGAGTTGGTTTTTGTGTATGGAGGGAGTGTGGCTCTTGCTTGAGTTTTCTGCAGATAGTTTTCCTATTTTGCCAGCACCATTTGTTAAAAAGGCTGTCATTTCCCCACTTAACTGATTTCATCTCCTTGTCAAAAATCAGTTGACCTTAGGTAGATGGGCTAATTTCTGGGTTCTCGATTCTATTCCATTTATCTATGTGTCTGTCATTGTACCAGTACCACACTGTCTTGACCACCATGGTATTGTAGTAGGATTTGAAATCAGGGAGTGAGATGCCTCCAACCTTGTTTCTCTTTTTAAGGAGTGCTTATTTGTGGTCTCTTTCCATTCCAAATGAAATTGGAGGTGGCCTTTCCCAGCTGGGATTGCACTGAAAGTGTAAATTGCCTTTGGTAGAATTATCATTTTCACAATATTGAGCCTTCCTATCCAAGAGCAAGGTATAGTCTTCCATTTCTACAGGTCTCTTTTTGCTTCTCGTAGTAATATTTTTTAATTTTCTTTGAACAGATCCTTTGTGCTTCTGGTTAGGTTTACTCCCAAGTATTTAATCATGTGATTAGCTATTGTGAAGGATATTGTTTTTCTTAGTTCCAGTTGTTCTGTATTCTTTCTGTCACTGTAGAGGAATCAAATTGATTTTTGTATGTTGATCTTGTATCCTGCCACTTTGCTCAATTGGTCCACTATGTCCAGTAGTTTTCTTTCTGAGTCTTTAGGGTTTTCTAAGTATACAATCATATCATCTGCATAGAGAGATAATTTTACCTCCTCTTTGCCAATTTGGATACCTCTTATTTCCTTCTCTTGTCTTATTGCTATCATTAAGACTTCCAA